GTGAATAGGCCTGTTGTTTTGTTTTGTTTTTTGGTGTTTTTTTGTTTTTTTCGCTTTTTAAAGCATGTCATAAAAAGGAGATTCAGTCTGATCCCACAGACAATATGGATTCGGACATTTTTGTTGCTAAAAACATAACGGAAATCTCGCAAGACACTCTACTGAATATGTCTAATAAATGTCGTATCTCTTGTCGATCACTCTGACTAGAATTAATAAATGATGGCCTTAGTAATCCACTGCCAAGCGATGTAATTATTCATTATAATTTGGTATTATGGTAGGCCTACCTTACGTCATTTAGTGTGCATAAACAGCTATTGCAGTCAAAACCGAATCTCTGATGATGTAACACTAACCACCATTTATATCATTGATATTAATAATCCAAGAGATAATCCGGAAAATGGTGCAAAGTCTTCGGTTTTTACGAGGGACGAAAACACCCCTCGTAACGCGCGTCTCGCTCGGCATCCTCGCCGCAAAGTAGAAATTATATAATTAACATCATTATTATGTAAGTTGTACTAATGAAGATTCAAGAAATAATTCTATTACCTACTCCAATATTTAGCGCTCGCCTTGTTCCTTTGTTGATGTAGCCTATATACCTTATTCTTTTTAAATAATTGAACGCACGCGTTTCTATGACGTTACTTTCGAAAATAATACGAAATTTGTTAAAACACATCGTAACTGATTCTTATCAAAAATAGCTCTAAAGATACAGGTCGAAACCCGAAGCTCTGGGCTCACCAGAGTGCCTGACTGTGCAAGTCTGTGGGGAGGGGGTTCCCACTCCTCCCGCACAACAGTCTGGTTTACCTTCCCAGCATGTGCTGGTACCCATTTACACTTCTGGAGAGAGACAAACGTAGATAAAGTGTCTTGCCAGAGGACACAAGCAACTTGCACACAAGAACCCCCAACCTCAAGGTCGTTGTGCCAACCGCTTGTACAATTAAAAATAGTTCTATAAGCTTATGAATAAATATAGGCCTGAATCATAATAACTAGGCCTATCTGTATGAATATTTCTTACCAATCAGTCTGACTTTAATATTCAGCAACAAATCCAGCGCTCTATCATCTCCTTAGGAGGTCAATGACAACAAACGGCATTTGCAGAAGTTTCAAAATTTTTCAGCAAAAGAAAAAAAAATCATTGCAATGTGAACAAGTTAAACAAAAATGAAAACTGATGCAATAAACAATAAGCCAATTCGTAGTCATAACTTAAGGTATGACGCAGTTGTATATTGGCCATAATTTTGAATAATACATAATAGATATAAAGCGTATAGTATTGTACACTATTGCAATCTATAGTGGATTGATCGATGTAATGATAAAAAGTAGACAATTGACAACGAGGTAGAAGCAGGCTTATTCCCTGAGAAACAGTTAATTTAACGCGTATCCCCAAGACGGCTATACATTTCACATTTAATCACATTTAAGTCGTAGCCCATTTAATCCCCATCGTTCTACTTCGTAGCCTACTCCTTTTATTGAATCGATTATATTCGATCATTTGTCACATAGTATCAATACAATGGCCGCTTATTCAATTGAAGTCCAATTAGACGAAATTGCGGACAATCAGTTAAATCATTCCCCGTCCTACTTAAATGAACTGTTTGGCAATTTTCCAATAAAACACTTGTATACCTACTAAATTTAATTGATTATTATAACAATGACAAATCATTATTAACAAAATTTCTGTCGTGGTTAAACATATTATAGTCTACTGTCTTTTTTAAGCTAATATACTTGAAAAGTTAAAATCAATATTAACTTGAATTCCTTAAGGTACTTTTGTATATAGTCATAAGTACATTTTTAGTTTTAAATTGAGAAATCGTCGCAAACTTAAATTTAAATATTCAAAAGGAAAAGCACATCACCAATGTATGTGTAAATATCGCTTACCATAAATACAAACATACTCATAAAGTTGCTTTAATACAAAGCAATATAGCAAGTTCAAATAAGTTATCAATAAACTGAATACTACGTGGAATGCTTCATAAACAATAGGCTTAAGAATTGCGCTGTGGCGTATTCTTCATCTGTCTCTTGGAATTGCTTTTGAATAATTTAATTGCACGTCTGGGAAGGCATCATTATGTAGGACGACTTGATCGTTTAAAAGCACGGCGAATGCTGACGCATGCGTGCGCCGAGCTTTGCGGTAATTTTTCAACAGATATACTAGATTTGATAAATGTAAATATTCAGCAGAAGTACAATGACAACTGGGTTATAGGTTTTCTCTAATTAAAGGACACCTCTAATTAAACATCTCTATGATAATTATTTTTCTAATTGGTGACCAAAAGCTGCTAGAGACAAATAATAGCCCGGTGTTCCCCCGGTTTATCACCCGCTCCCTCATCACTTTTGGGAAAAATCTGATTTTTTTTTTTTTTTTTTTTTTTTTTTATCAACATATATTTTTATTTCAAACGGTCCTTTTTCCATCTTTTTTCACTTGAAAAGCTCAGGGTTTCTTGCAATACTGGTACAACAAAAACATATTTTTTAAATATAAATTTGATTCCATTCTTATGACTTTTTATATATGTGTCTCTAGCCATTGATTTACTTGTGTTCATCGGTAAAATGGGGGCGGGATTAGCCAAAAAAAAAAAAAAAAAAAAAAAAAAAACAAAAAAAAAAAACCTCACTCCCTCATCAGTTTTTATTCTTTGATAGGGTGATAAACTAATAATTTTTTTTATGGGGCCTAATGATAGGCCTAGGTTATTACTACACCACTGCTGTGTCGTGTCCCAATATGGATATCAAATGTCTAGCCACAGAAGTCCCATGGCAATCTCTAGATTCTAACGCTTGGTGGTCAGTCCGCAGCCACTCAACGAGATGTAAAGCTCAGGATATTTATCTGTCAATAGGGTTTAGAAGTTTAATGCAGGCGCACATTTAGTTACGTTATCACCTGAGAGACAGAGTCGTTAAATTTTATTTTGTGATAACAACAGTTAACGGTCAAAGAAAGCATTTGAAATCCAGACATTAAACTATGGAGGATTTCCGGTAACCCTTGATAAAAAAAAAAAAAAAAAAATTCTTTGATAGGGTGATAAACTAATAATTTTTTTTATGGGGCCTAATGATAGGCCTAGGTTATTACTACACCACTGCTGTGTCGTGTCCCAATATGGATATCAAATGTCTAGCTACAGAAGTCCCATGGCAATCTCTAGATTCTAACGCTTGGTGGTCAGTCCGCAGCCACTCAACGAGATGTAAAGCTCAGGATATTTATCTGTCAATAGGGTTTAGAAGTTTAATGCAGGCGCACATTTAGTTACGTTATCACCTGAGAGACAGAGTCGTTAAATTTTATTTTGTGATAACAACAGTTAACGGTCAAAGAAAGCATTTGAAATCCAGACATTAAACTATGGAGGATTTCCGGTAACCCTTGATAAATAATGGAATAATCCAAAGTACAGTACATTCTAACATGTATGTTGGCCTACAAATGCACCACATTTGTTTTTACTCGGATTTAACGAGGAAAGTGAACGGTCAGAGCACCAAATGCGGCAAATGATTTTGAGAATGATATTTGGAAACATTTGGTAAGTTGTTCATATTATGTGAAATATTAAATTGTGCGTAAGTGAATCTGTTTAAGCTAGTGGTGTACGCATTTTTAAAGATTTTGTGTGTGCGTCAACCAATTATATTAGTGCGCGCTCATTATGTGTTTGTGGGACATGCGCGTATTTCTGGTCCTGTTCTGTCTGTTGTTAAGTTAGATTGGCACTCTGAAAAGGTCTATAATAGGCCAATTTATTTAATCATGTTTTAATTGTATAGACCATCATCATCACCATTATCACCGTCATTATTATTATCATCAAAAATATTTTAATTATGTAGACTGTGTACGCGGTCCATAGTACCCTTGTTCAGACATGTGTTGCTGTAACAGTAAAAGGAATGTAATGAGGTACCTCAAACACTAGATAGATAAGCTCCGATATGCTATTAGATGATGCAGTGATACGAATATTTCTGAGAGAACAACGCGGCGAACTTTGAGCGAATCTCCCCCTGAACTGACGCACTTGAACTGGTAAGTGTACTTCAGATGAGAAAGGGGTTACAATGGTCAGTGATGCCAGGTGTTTGCTGGTTGGCTGGCCCTCGATTGATTTGTGACTGAGCCGCTAAATCTTCGATCAAAACAAGCGTAAATGGTCGACCTAAAGTCCCTTTCAAATTTATCAAGTGTATGAATTTTGCTATATGTTACTTGTGTTTCAATATTTGCCGTGATGTTGAAGACACTTGGCTTGACCATAAAGACGGTTGAAACACACACAACCATAGAGAGATCGATTAACAAAAAAACAAAAAACAAAATAAAAAAACAAACAAACAAAAAAACATTATAAAAGGAGTACCTGTTATCATCTTTGTTATAATCTGCTACAAATATTAATATAGACATACACGTTGTATGCGTACACATTCGATGATCTCCCTGAGAAGATGAAGATATTATTGACACATCATTATGATAAGGCAACATTTATCATAAATCGCCGCCATTGACTATGTATTTTGCTCTAATAGAATGCATTTCTTTCTGAAAATGTCAATATATAACTAGAGAGAAAACGCGAGAAAACCCTAGAATTATTAACGTCATCGTTGGTAATATAATAGTATCTTATATGCGTGCATATAGAAATCCATCAAATATTGAATTCGAGAAAACAAAATGGTCGGAATAAAAATATTGAACAGAATTACGTTTACTTAACAATACTAATTATTAGGAGGCTTTACTAGAATGGCACAAAAGAACATCAAACGAAATCTACAAATTAAGTTCCATTAATAGAACATCCCGTAGGACTTACTCTTCCGTCACATCTCGTCCCAAAGGTTGCTAGGCATAGGTCTACATTGATAACAACGTAAGTGAGTTAAAATATATTTTATTTTATTTTCAGATTAAAAAATATGAACAACTTCAGCAGCATACAATGAATGGAAATTCGACAGACATGAACCTCTCGTTGGAGGAGTGGGACGAGGTGACTGTGTCACCGATTCTGTTCGGGATCGTCTGCTCTCTGTCGGCAGCCGGTATGTGTTTGGCGTTGTTTTTCATGACGTTTAACATCAAACACCGCCGTAACAGGTAAGTCAACATTGCACATACA